CACTGATGCTTGTCCTCTCACTTGGAATCGTCTACAGTTTCTAAGGGGTTTTGATCTGCTTTTATGTAAAATTTCACCGAAGTGTGCAAATGGGGTTCGCTTTCAAATGTTTTGCTTATAAATAAATATGTAATATCATGCTTCGTGAAAGAGCAGGACCGAAATCGTTGACGTAAGTTGTCAGCTACAGCACCAGAGATGATCCAGATATGAATCAGCGCTCAGCTAATAGACGCTTTAAATATCTTGTTTCGCAACTAGTAACCTGTTTCAGTCGTTTTCAGTTTTTTTTTTTTCCAGCTAAATAATATGAATTTTACGCTAGGATTATTTTTGAGTTCAGTTAATTTCCCAATTTACCGCATAAAGTTTCTTTTGCAGAGCTGGTTCTTGCAAACAGTGAAGCTTCAGAGCAAATGCCGAATGTGGAAGCAGATCCTGTTCTGTTTGAAGACAGCATTCTTCAGCAGGAACTATTATTTGATATAGTAAATGAAGCAAAAACAACGAACGAGATCGAAATTCAGAAACGTTTGCGGCAATGTCGACGGCGTAGTGCTGCTGTTGAAGCGCAAGCACTGAAAGAAAGCCGACAGTCGTTTGAATTAACTGATGAAGAATTACTGAAGGCTTTTACAGATGCTAAGGATTAATCCCATTCAGAAAAATGTAAATTGTCGAAAGTACTGACATCTCATTAATTTTTTGTTATTTCCAATTTTAAACTGTGGAATTCGTATATTTTAACTGTACATTGTGCACAAATACTAGCCTTTTCATGCTCATTTTTTCATATTTTTCAATACTCTCTATCGTAAACAGGAACTTCTCGAGCAAATATTGTGGACTAGAAGAGAATCGAACTTCCTGTTTTTGTAATTTCAGGATCTTAGAATCGTGACGTGTATTTTCATTTAACTGTCAGCCTTTACCTCCACACACACAACGATTGCAACAGCACCTATATCATTTCATGTATACCACTTACACAGAGTTTACTGGGCTAGTACTGCAGGTGGTGGAACTTCTCAGTTCTTGCTAGGTTTTCGCGGTTATCTTTTATAATACTTGGAAGAATGCAACTGAAAGCCTAGCGTAGATAGGCTTGGTGTCGCGGAAAACTCGTGAAAAGTCGGCTAAGAAGCCGCTAAAAAGAAAAAATAGGGCACGGAAAAAGGGGTATCTTACTTGAAAGGCAAATACACAGTAGATGTGCTGCTAGGCTGAACC